TCGTCTATAGGTTCTGGTGGAGTTGCGGAGAAAGCAACTACCTCGGAGACACTGGCAGACTTCTGAAGACGCGAAATGCCGAAAACGCGACAGCATTTGCGGCCCATTCGACGAGAACCGGCCCCACATTCAAATTTTATGAGGTCCAAAATCTAGCAAGAGGTGACAATCGTGTGAAAAGAGAATTATTTGAGTCATGGTTCATGGACCCCCAGTCCATAAACAAGTGCATTAACCTGCCCAATCGATATTCGGTGCTGCGGCTCATTTCGGCTAAAGCCAGTCGCCATTTGGGGAACGCACAGGCCACCGCGTCGTCTTACGCTAACATGAGGAAACAAGACGGCTGAGCAATCATCACGTCCGATTCCACCACGCGTGATGAAAGTTCAGCAAGTCAGAGTCCGCATGCCGGTCACCAAGCCATCAACCCACAAGAGGCCATTATTTTTAATTTTCGTTATTTGTCACATGTGTGCAGTACTGACTGTGTCCTTTAAATACTTCAACTTCCTGTGCGTGTGTTTCCCGTTTCTGCTATGCTTTCTGCTCATGTGCCTGATGATGAATCCGCCACGGATGTCGAAACCTCAGACGAATAAAAGTATTGTCCCAACAATCGAATCTTTATCTTCTCAATTACTTCCTGGGCCGCCTATGCTTGCTTTTATCGGCATGTTAATATACAAACACGGAAAAATGAAATGAAAATCCAGGAAACCCGCAACAAGTAGAATCAATGCAGAAGGTTGTGTAGAAGGAAAAATAGGGCAAAGGGCTACTTCAGGCCTGCTCTTCTCCACATCCTGGGACCGACTGACAGGCTGCATTTTTACTAAGCAGGTTGCACGTGTCGGTCTGCATACGTATTTGCAGATGGTAACGATAAATGAGTGAAAGCTTGCATCAGATTGTTTATGCTGATAAGGGGTGCCTCAACATTAGCTTCGCATGCCTTGCCTAGTACCTGTCCTAGGCAGAGGACTAGCGTGCCCGTCTCTCTCAATCTCAAGCGGGTAACAGCGGACGCACAGAGACTGCGTGCAGCCCATCAAAACTATTTTGGAAGTAAGGGTGGCTTGCGTACCGGAGCCTCATATGCACGCACAACATCAGGAAGCTTCTGACAACGTCGCTTCCTGCAAAGCAGGCGAAGTTGTATCCTGCACCTACTTCTTTTGCTTGCCTTTGCCTACTGGTGGCCGCGGTTTCTGTCCTTTTTTTGTTCTAACCTAAAATTTAATTTTCTCTTTTTGGTGGGCCAGCGGGTTGGTTAAAGAAGAGAAGGAACAT